ATCTCCCACAGAGATAAGGATCACCACCCCTCCCACATTTCAACAGATGGTGATAGAATACACATTTTTTTGCATTGTACCCCAGGACATAGGGGAATTCCAGGAAAACATAAAAAAGATGTTGTTAGTGTGAGGGTGATAAAGAACTTGCCTGTGGTTGGCACAGGATTGTTCACGCTTGTAGAAATTCAGGACTTGGCTCTAAGCATCCTCCAAGAACTGATCATGCTGTCTAGAGGGGCTGTTGGACTAGGTGATATCCAGAGGTTCCTTCCTGCCTCATGGAGTCTCTCATGTGGAAAAAACGGTGATGCACAGCTGCCTCTGAGAAGGAAGAACTGGATGTGAACACTGGAATCAAGGGCAGTCTTGGCTGTCACACCAAAGAAAGTGGAGAGGAAGAGGTGGTGTCAGGGAGGGAAGGAGTAACAATGTACAAGTAGCCCCTGCACATCAAAAATCTTACACCCAGTCAGGCATCTTGCAGGTTGGATAGCATGGAGGCACCTGTGAAGAGTAAAAGAGGTCAGAAAAGCTGGCAGCAGCTCAGGCATCCTGTGGTCAAGAATTAAGAAAGGTCCAGGAAAAACACAGGAAACCAAGAGGAGACTGAGCATAGGGGATGTGCTCAAAAGGGCCCTGGGTACAAAACCAGTCTACACCAAGGAGTGCTGCACTTCCCTGCCCTGCAGACATGGAGGCAGCTGGGATGCATCCCAGGAAGTCAAGGAAATGCCTTCAGTAGGCAAATCTACATGGAGGGACTCTCCCTACCAGTGGGGAGTCATGCTCTAATTTTGGGTTGGCCGTGTGTCAGCCTTTGGCTGTGAGGCCAAGCCAGGAGTGAGTGATGTCTGCAGGCTTTGTTCCAGGCCAGGATGAGTTCCCTTCCAGCAAGGACAGATCCATCCATGCACAGAGAAAACATCTCCAATCATCTGGGCTGTAGCCAAGCCCAGAGCTCCAGGCAGCCAATACACACCTTGCCATCAGCAGGACCTTATTGTCTGCAAGAAAGGGTGGAAATCAGTGTTACTATTTTTCCCTGGTCCCATGATCTCTTCCTTCCAGAGATGTCTCTAGCACATCTGCCTGTACTGATGTATCCCTGCCTGGGAAACCCTTCAGTCTTTCATCTTGATACTTGAAAGGATGTTTGGACACCTAATTATCACGTCAGGAATGAGGAAAAGAAATGGCAATGTTGATGGAAATAAAAGCACAACCTGTGGCGTTAGGGAGGATATTTTGCTTGGGAGGTGAGTCTGAAGGAAAATTACTACCCTTGTGCATTAGCTGTGGGCCTGGGGCAGTGCAAGGGCAATATAAGAGAGAGCTCGTCCTCACTCTCTCATCCACTGCATCTGCCTCAATCTGCTTGGGATCAAGGTGAGTTGGGTCACTTCTCTCCTTCCACTTCCTCTTCCTCCTCCTATTTTCCAGTGCATACCTGTCACTTGGCCCTATGCTGCATCATGGGACAGCTCTCTGTGTGAGGTGAAATGTGAGAGACGATCATATGAAGGGAGGCTGGGGCTTGCCTGAAGTGAGTGATGTTCTAAGCAGGAACCTTCTGAGATTGGTTGCTGTTAGCAGGGAACCTGTGGGCTAAATGTGAGAAAAAACATGTGGGCATCCCTACATCTCCTGCTTTTGTCTCCATCTTGGCTTGAGTCACGGTGTGGTGATGGGTTGTTCTTCAAACACCTCTCATGGTCTGCTCCTCAATGTTCTCTGTGCCAGGTACATCTGCAGCCCCGAGCCATGTCCTGCTACACCCCGTGCCGGCCCTGTGGCCCCACCCCGCTGGCCAACAGCTGCAATGAGCCCTGTGTCAGGCAGTGCCAGGACTCCACCGTGGCCATCCAGCCCTCACCCGTGGTGGTGACCCTGCCCGGCCCCATCCTCAGCTCCTTCCCACAGAACACCGTGGTGGGATCCTCCACCTCTGCTGCTGTTGGCAGCATCCTCAGCTCTCAGGGAGTGCCCATCAGCTCCGGGGGCTTTGGCCTCTCAGGCTTGGGCAGTGGCCTCTGTGGCACCAGGTGCCTCCCCTGCTAAAGCTGCTGGCCATGGCCCTGGGCAAGGAAGCCAGGGACTGCCAGCATGGGAGCGCCCTGGGGACGCAGCATCGGCTCTTTGCTTCCCCAGGGGCTGAGCAAGCCCAGCAGCTCTGGCACAAGGATGGGGCCAGCCTGGGCTCTGGGCAAGCACAGCCCATGCCTGCCTCTGCCCTCTGCCCTCTGCCCCTCTCTCCTTTCCCTCCTGTGTCCCTCTTGCCTTGTGCTCCCCTGCCCTCTGAACCCCACACAGCCATCCTGGGGACAACCTGCTGGCCCTGTCCCTCTCTGGCTCAGGCACAGGGACACCTGCTGGGGCACAGATTCCCTTCTGTCCCTCATGCTCTCTGCACTGGGATCTCCAGACAGGGGAACCTTGTTTCTGTGTTTTGACTCATTAAATTTCTCCTGCATCCCAGCCCATGTGTCTGTGTCATTCTTTCCTCATCAGGTTCTTTCTCAATATGTGAAGGGGAAAAGAGGTTTTTAAGGGCTGTTTTCGTGAGGGTTAACTTGAAATGAATGTTCCATGAAGAATAACAGCATTGTATAGGTTCCACACAAGATGGAGTTCAATTTCACCAAATTAACCCTTCTACTGGTTCTTCACAGTTGGAGCTAGAATGGTGCTCATAACACAGAAATATTTTGGGTTTTTCTGGGCAGTGCTTACCCAGCATCAACCCTGTCTCTCCACTCTCCTCTGCAAAAGGCCATGGTTGTGGTGGAAGTGGTCAAGAGGTTGGGAGAGGACAGCCAGGCTGCTGACCCACGCTGACCCAAGGGATATTCGATACCATGTGACATCATGGTCAGCAAAAAATGCTGAGAAAAAGGAGGAGGAGGGTGGCAGGGGAACATTCATTAACAGATTGTTTGTCAAAGAAGAAACTGCTAAGTGTGTTGTGTCCTTGCTTCCTAGGAGAGGCTGGACATTGCCAGTTGATGGAAGGTGAAAATAAAACTTTTTTTTTTTTTACAGTCTTTCCTTGCTTCTCTTCATTAAACTGCCTTTATCTCAACACATGGTACTTTAATTTTATCTTCTCCCACCATACTCTCTGAGGTGAGGGTTTGATTGAACATTGATGGGCTCCTGAGGGCCAGGCAAGATGAGACTGTGCTGGAGGAACTGTCTTGTGTGGGAGATGAGCAAATAGACCTTTCCATTCTCATCCATGAGTGATGCAGATTGTTTTGTTGTGCAGGCTCACAAAGTCCTTTTTCATCTTAGTTCAAGGTGCTTAAAAATACTAATTAACTCTATTGACTTAATGTGGTGTTTGAGGTATCTGGTGTCAGGGTGGTGTAAGAAGAGAGAATGTTTTGGTGTGGCAACAGTGAAACTTGTCTTGAGGTGGCTGGTGGCAGTTTTAACACAACTCTGGAGCTTGACCAGTGCTATCAGAGGACAGGGGTACAGACAGGGGCCAAAGCACTTCTGAGAATGTCACCAGTGAGTCATGCATCTGACCTACATTTAAGAACACAGTAGTTGATGCAGACACCCAAATCACACCAGGGCTGAGACAGAGACCAAAACTTTCCTGGGGGAAAGGACCTGGGGGTGCTGGTTAACAGCAGTGGAACATGAGACTCCTTTGTAACTGCTGGGATGTTTATTGCAGAAGAACCACACTCTGTACACAGCCTGTGCATACTTTTATCAGGGATTAGAGGTTGTCTTTGTATTTCTTTGAATACATTATTGCAGTCAGATACTATCACTGGCAGTCCTTGAACTGTAACCTGTCACAATTTTATATTATGAAGAGCATTATTCCATAAACTGTCAGTATCAGTCCTTAACTGGTGTTTGCAGTCTCCAGCAGCAGGGAACATACTCAAATACAGTGGAAGACCCACTAAGGGGTCAAAAAAATGGGAGACCTGCTGAGGGGTCTCTCTGAGGCTGATGGTGCTTTCCTGACTGAGTCAGTCGAGCTGCCCTCTGATCCAGCAGGATGGCTCAGTGCAGGGTCCCCTAATTGGGCACTGACAGGGTGGTTGGGCACAAGGGTCTCAGCTTTCCTGGGGCATTGACAGACAAACACTAAGGGTCAAGTGAATCTCCCTTTTTCATGTGATATCATCTCTGAAGGAGCTCTAGTCATTGAACTGTGTTGAGTCACTCCTTACAGTCCTAGATAGGTAGAGAAGTTTTGAAAAACAGAGCGTCATGCTCTAAGCATAGTCAAAGCAATTCTGTGATAATTGTCCCCATACAAGAATACCCAATAACCCCCCTGGTCATTTTGTGAGGGCATACACAGGGGAAAAGATGACAAAAAGGCAAGGGCTCAAATGCAGCAAAATTTTAATGATTCAAAAGATGAAAACGAGGTAAATCTGAGTCAAAGGAACACCAGAGGCAGATAGGAGTCTGCACCAAATAACTGTGGTGGACACCTCAGCATGTGTCCCTGTGCCTGAGCCAGAGAGGGACAGGGCCAGCAGGTTGTCCCCAGGATGGCTGTGTGGGGTTCAGAGGGCAGGGGAGCACAAGGCAAGA